TACAAATTTTGATAACCAGAAAATCAGCCTTATTACAACCTGATAATACTTACCCCGAGTTACTCCATATATTATGCCATATAACATATGTCTATTTATGCTTGTGCTAGAATCATATGGTCAGACAAAACACATCCACAATTTTAGTAAAACACTGGCAGATTCTGAAGTAGTATGAACTTTATTAAATCGCCGAAAAAGACATATCTACATTATTATTGTAATAGAGTAGCTGCCAGCCATTTAGGTTTTTTATACAGTCTATTTGGAACGGTACGTTACCTCGCCTCCAGCAGAACTAATGCAAGACAACATGTAAAGGATTCTGATTTATCGATAAAAACACTAGTTAATTTTACTTTCGGCAAAAAAACAACGTTATTTGTCATATGGCGGTATATATTACTCTCGTTATATATATATATAACAAGAGAGAGAAGTACATATTTGTATAACAACATATATGACAACACTAATCGTAACTTTTTTGTACGGTTATTAAAAAAAAACGAAAGTGTTCCCAAAAAAAATCTGAGTCGTACATTTTGTAGCCCACACTTCACTGAGGCCCCACAAAAAATTTCCTAACTACCAGACGCGAACTGGCTGAGTTATATCAGTAACAAGGCCAGTTTCTAACGCTCGACAGGATTTCAACGAAATCTATGCAAAATACTCGCCAAAAACAAACTTATGACATACCATTCGACTCGTCTTGAGACAAGCAATCTAGTGAGTCTACTAGCAGTTGATATAAGGGAAAAAAAGCAAAAAACCTATAAAAAACACCACTAAAGTTCACTCACACTCACGATTCCATTAAGTGTCTGAGAAAGTTTACCGTTCCGGCTTTTTTCGGTCTGTATTGGTTGCATTAACAAGGAGCGTGTTTATCAATAATAGCGTTTTCCGTTTCAGCCGAAATTTGCTTCATTAATACCACATTACCTGATAAATGTGTTACAAAACAACTATAGAAAAAAAGAAAAAGCTACGGCTCTGAGCCTCGTATGATGTCGAAGTCTATCACAAAGATCATAATACTGCTACTAGCCATTCGAATTTAAAATTTAGTTTTAGTAACTTGGCCGTGCCACTCGACAAATCTTTTCCATAAAGTTTTCTTTCCAGAACCTAGGACCACTACAAATCGCTTGCCCATGACCAGACGAGTCTATTGATGTATGGTAAGCGCAGGCCCGAGCAAAGAATTCTGAGAAAATCGAGCAAAAATTGTCGCTCTACATTTTTAAGAGAAAAATGTCGCTCTACATTTCGCAGAACATCGTAAAATTCTAACATAAGCAATTATCAGACAGCCTCAAAATTTTTGGTGCTAATGCAACTTTTTATGCTCTATTCGCGCTATTAGTTTCAGAAAGTTTCAATGTGCCCGCTAGGAGTTATTCGTCATTCGATTTGCAGAATGTCGCTCTTGAGTGAAAACTGATTTTTTTTAAAAGTCGGAACATTTTTCAAAAACTTAGAATGCAAAACCGTATATTAGAGTTACACCATTTTGTTACTCGCCCCGAGCTCTTTCATTCTAGACCACTCTCGATTTTCCAGCTTGCTGCTGTGCTGAGCTGGAAAGCGCTTTGTGCCGCTCTACACAAAATGACACTTTTGAGTGCAAATGTATTTTCGACCTAGAATGATTAAAAAAACTAAAGGACGGGAAAATATGAGTAATATAGGTCTATACAGAAATAGAAGTTCTACAAACTAGCCTATTTACTTTTTTTTTCCTTTCTGTCCTATCTTTGGAAAATCTATTTGTATAATGGTGAATAATCCGGAAAATGGGATTTTTCGACTTTGAATGGGTACAACTTTGCGGGTTGACCAGATTTCACAACGAATTTTTTTGTGGTAGTGGAACCGTCATCAGCGAGTAAAACAAAAAAAATTTTCGAAACCGGTGGGCAATGACAGAAGTTATTGAAAAAATATCGTAAAATTACAATTGTACAAAAAAGTTACGATTCGCTCATATATAAAGGGTGGGTACTAAGTTCTAACCCGCTTTGTAAATTGACGTTATTTATCTGAAATACATGTGATACAACTCAGCTGTTTTTTGCACAAGATTCATCATTTAATTCTCTACAAAATGGTATATAAGAGATGATCCTGAGACTTGAGATTCCGTCTTAATTGAACAGAGATCGAAATGCCCCAAAGTTTCAAAAATTTAACTCGAAAAACTGTATTTTGCCAGTATAAGCTTGAATGTATGCGTTGTGCCCACATCAAATAGGCCAACATGCAGTCCTTTTTCTATCGACTGGCTATAATGCGAATTTTCGGTCGTTGTTTCTATGTTTTCAATAATGCTTTTTGCAAAATTCCTATGAATGTTTTTTCAGCTTTTTCAACATATTATTTGAAGCTGTTTGTACAATGAACAGTGCTCACTCAAAAATGAATGAATCAGACTCGTTCTTGCGTCATTTTGAAGAGAAACGTTTCAGCTATTCGACTCATGTGCGAAATATGTGATGTCAATTCCCTAAAAGTAATCGAAACGCCAAAACTACCATTTTGTTCATTTTTGGTTGTCGATTATTAACTAAACATTTTACCCATATGGAACGGATGGAGATTAAATTAATCTTGTCCCAACTAATGGAGGATATCTAGATGTATCAAGAAACGACTTGAGATCTTTTTTCTGTCCATCTAAACATGGGTTTCAAAATTCAAAATCGTTGCCAAAAATGTTTTTATTTTTTGAAAGTTTTGGGGTATTTCGGTTTCTGTTCAATCAAGACGGAATCTCAAGTCTCAGGATCATCTCCTATGTACCATTTTGTAGAGAATTAGATGATGAATCTTCTGCAAAAAAACAGCTGAATTGTATTACATGTATTTCATATAAATAATGTCAATTTACAAAGCGGGTCAGAACTTAGTACCCACCCTTTATATATATGTTGGTTTCCTGAGTTGTCGACAAAACTACTTCTATTGTCACTATGCAAATATTATTTGCCTTGATGATACAATCATAACAAAACCATTTTAGTGGGTTCTTTCTCAGCAATTTCTTTTCTACCTCAAACAGGTAAAAGAATTTCTTTATTGAAAAAAGAGAAAGAAGAATAACGGGTGCGTCGGAAATAATGGCACATTTTGTATTTCATGAATATCTTGCTCAGCTTTGATCCTGAAGAGTTGAAATTAGACTCAAAAGATACCCTGTTGAGTTCTCTACAAGGCCTGCATTAAACGTTTTTCTGTACCAAGCGAAACAAAAATATGAAAAAAAGAATACTCAACACATTCAAAAGAACCAACTTCATAAGCTCAAAAATCGTTCTTTTAGGATGTTTTCGTTGGCTAGTGGCCACAAAAATAAAATAGTATAGGCATTTTGTAGCCCTTGAAAAGCTGGAAAGATCGTTCATTATTTGAAAATTTTCTTGCTCATTCTTCACCCTAATAATCTTCTTTTCAGATTTTAGAGAAATTAGCTGTTCCAGTCTGCTATTCAACTAGGGTGGAGTTTTAAAAATGTCTCAGTTCACTCTGGAGTTTTTTTGTTCTGGGTTTTTCATCTGTTTAACCTTGTTTCATGATACAACGAATCATTTAACATCTAACCCGCACATTTCCCTTCACGAAGATAATTCTAAGAATCAGAAATGGCCTGTTAACACAAAACATCTTTCCTTTAACATTGTTTTCAGTATCATGCGACATCTGTTGAGTCGTAAAGACATTGTGTAAATTCGTATTCAATAAAAATTCAACAGAAAAGAAAAATATATCATCGGCGGCCATTTTTGGCAGGTAACTTCCAACTACGTCCAAATAAAGAAAAGCAAGCAAACATTTTTACAGAACGAATAAGAGATATCTCATTGGATAAAACTTTGTTGAATAAGCGTGTTTTGCACATATGTGGCTTAGTGTTTAAGCGGAAATAAACTGGATAAGAGTCATATGAGATAAGTTGTTTTCAAATGTTTTGTGTCATTTTATTGCATCGTATTCACAAAAAATTCATTTGATTAACAAAAAGTCATCATCCATTTTATAAGAAATATATATCCTATCTGATAACAGCGGGTTTAACCAGGATTTTTGGTACAATGGGCAAACTTCTATTGTATCGGAAAAAACGATGGGCAAAATGGGCAAGATTTTTGTCGATGGTCCAAAAAGAACACAAAAAAATGAAATGAGATTCTTTTAATTTTTGAATTAGATTCTAATTCAAAAATAAAGAAACAGTTTTGTCTATAGGCACTCTTACATATATCTTTCTAAGGGTTATACAAAAAGAAACCGCATGGGTATATCTGCTAAGTAAAATTTCAATGGGCAAAAACTTACTAATAAAAATTACAATAGGCAAATGCCCAAATGAAATGGGCAAATGCCCATTTGCCGCCCGCCCCCCTTGGATACGCCGCTGTCTGATAAGTGTTTTGCACAGAATTACACAAGTCGTCGGCTTTTTCTAACTTTGGTGGGACTTTTTCTGGTCGATTTCTGATTTTTAACCTTTTTTAATTTTGTACTGGGAGAAGATGGATATTGTGAAAAAAGGCTGATATATATATATATATATATATATATCAGCGCGTTTCTGTTTTGTTAAATATGACTTTGAATGTAATATCGAATGTGAATGATGAAAAATCTGACTATAATAAAATATAATAATTAATAGTGCAAATGTTTAGTAGCTTTGATTCAACATAGAATGAGTAACAGTCATTTTTAAATGCATTTTGTCTTTGCCTAGTTCTAAGACAATGTTGCAAAAAGAGATTTTTTTCGTTTTTATCAGACTTCTTTGATTATCTATAATAAAAAAAAGTCCTTTTTTGTTAAGCAATTTATTTTTAATAAAAACTTGTTCTAGTTTCCATTCTAGTAGATGAGATTCACAGCGATTCCTGTTCAATAATTAATCTATGTATTCATTTCTCCACGTTTAGTTCTAGAAAAAAACCAACAACAATCTGAGTTTGCGTTTATCACAGCGAATGGCTGTTCATCGAACAAAAACATATTTTGATTTGGCAAGTTGTAAATATGAACATGAATATATCGTAAATAATTACAACAAAATTTTTAAATTTCTTCATATTCAAACGTAAGTAAAAAACTGTATCAATCGTTTACTTTGTTTTGAGTCATTTTTCTTCTATTTCTACTAGGCCCTATTATTTCATTGAAAATGATACATGTAAATATAATTTTATTATCGAACCTTCAAATCGACGATATATAATAATACATGCCACTATTGAATTTCCGCTTGATTTAGAAGAACGTCGTTGTTTTGATATTATTGCCGAATGTTACAATGAAACTAGAACATCAACCACAACAACATCTTCATTAAATAAAGCATCAAAAAGTAAATTAGTATCACAGTAAGTATCATTTTTCAATTACAGATATTCATACAGAGCGAATTTATAAAGCGAATTTTTTTTATTTTGACACAGTTTTTTTTCTCGTCTAAACACTGGTTGATATATAGTTTATCGGTAGGTGATGCTAATAAAACACGAAAAAAAAAGAACACTCACAAAGGTAATCTTTTAATGTAGTCGTACGACGCTTTGTTCGTTACTTATGCAAACCTCTATACAATGTATTCAGTTAGCTTTTTTTTGCTATTCATTGTATAAAAAAAAAGAAAGACGCAGTTTTAAAGACGTAGATCTATATGATGTAGACAAATTAGTACGACTAGCGCTTTGCTTCTATTTCTTGGTTGTACTATTTGTTGTTATATTCTATTATATATATATATTTGTTTTCTTTTTGGAGGGATGAAAAAAGTATAATATATCGATCGGATTATGACACAGACAGTGATTACAGTGACTCCAGTGATGATGACAATTTTGATCGTAAACGATTTTTACGTCTTAGATTATATTTAGAAGATATTGTATCAATAAAAAAACTTCGAATCAAAATTAAATGTAGTTATAATCGAATTGTTGAATCAAATGATGTTGTTATGAATACAAATAGTAGTCATTTATCCGTATCTTCTACATCTTCATCAACTAGTGATACATCATTATTGACATTGTATAATAATAAAATTCCATTTGATATGAATATAAAAATTGGTAAACGTACATTTTCTACTCATAAACATATATTAATATTACGTTCAGATTATTTTAAAACATTATTTGAAAGTTCATTTCAAGAACATTCAAAAAATGATCTTGTTTTAAATGATGTTAATAGTGATACATTTGATATAATGTTAAAATATTTATATACGGGTAAAAGTGATTGGGGAGAAAAGAAAGAAGATGGTGATAAAATAGAATTATTAGTTATTGATTTATTTAAATTAGCTGATCGTTTCTTGATTGATAGTTTAAAACATCTATGTTTAGAACAGATATTACAATATATCAATAAAGAAAATATTTTCTCTTATTTAACATTGTTAATGACGTATGACGATTGTCAGCAATTAAAAGAAAAATGTTTTAGTTTATTTCATAAATATCCAACATTATTGAAAACATCTTATTTTCATATGCTCGAAAAAAGTAATCCATCATTAGCAATTGAAATTTATTCAACATTTTTTAAATAGAATGGCATAGCTGAATTGTGTCTTCTGTTTTTTTTTCTAATCCAATTGGACTGTTCTATTTTTTTGTTTTTTTTGTTACACTTTTAATTTATCTAATAAAACAAGTATAACGTTTATTGGTATTACAAGGATTGTATACATTGTAGTTTTACATGGTATCAAAGAGAGAGATGAGAAAAAAACACACTTTAATAACTGATTATAAGAAAAAGTTAATGTAGTGTATTAAATATATGATTAACTATGAGATCGAATAAAATAGTACATTTGAATGGATTGAAATCTGTCACTCTGTATCTACTTGGTTTTTATTAATATTTCAGATTTGATCTGTGCTTTATATACCCATTCAAATGGGGTTGGGTTATAGCATCGATAGATATCGTCATCCTGAGAAATATCCTGATGTAACCGTTGGTCCTACATTCGATCCATTATATGGATTGTAAGTAGCACAACATGTTATTTATATGACTTTTGAAATTAATCATGATGTTTTTTGTAGCGCCGAAGGAAGAAAAGTGAAAAGTAAATAAATAATGGGCACTATTTTCATTCTTATATCTTCCTTCTCATTTTGTTTTCTTGTGTCTAGCTGCGCCATATACTCCAGAAGAAATGGCACGTTTAAGTATTCCATTAGATCATCGTGACTATTGTGCACATTATTATCGAGCAATTATGTTATGTTATGCTGAATATCAACCACGTGCCTATCGTTATTGTAATCCTGAAAAACATGCGTATCATGAATGCTTAAAGGAAGAGTACGAAGAGTGTTTATTTGAAAAAGTCTAATTAAATATCTTTCTTTTTCTCTCTCTATTTTTAGTCGTCTTGATGTTATTAAAGAACATGAACGAGAAAGACGTTTACGTCTTCGACGAATAAGAAAAGAAGAAAAAGCTCACAGAGATAAAAACCTGGAAGAACTACAAGATCGGTTAGCGGTTGATAACGAACATGAATGATAAATAAACATTTTTCCTCGACACTTTACTAGTTGTAGCACACCGTTTTTTTGTACTCTATTGGTTATTTATAATCTTCTGTAGAATAAAAATGATTTTTATGCATTTTTAACTTATTATCAGAAAGTCACTGAAGAAAGATTTGAAACTCAATTTATAGTCATGTGAATATATTCAAAGCTTTTTTTTTTCAGATTAAAGAAAATTTTTAGACTTAATTATGGAAAATAAATTTGAATCTTTGATTGATAATGCGTATGTTTTGTTTATGTAATCTTTTTATTCTTATTTAAATTGATTTTGTCGTTTTTTTTAGAATTGAAAAATTTGATCTTGTCGATGTTAAAGTACAAGGTGTTGTTGTTTGTGACAAAAATGGTTTGACTTTAACAAGTAAGTTTTGTTTACAGATGAAAATTAAGTTAATATGTATTTGTCCTGTTTTTAGATCGAAGCGTTGATGTATCTCCGGGACCCATTGCTTTATTGTCCGAATTAGCGAAGTGTCTATCGGGAAAACGAGTAACTGTTTGTCTTGAAAATGTAGAGAAGTAAATGGCAATTTTATTATTTTTTTCAAGCATAATACAATGATTGTCTTTGTCTTTGTCTTTGTCGTTTTAGCCAAGTACTTATCAATCAAACAGAAAAAGCTGTTATTGCACTTTATACACACCATTTATGAGAGAATAACGTCGCAGTCTTATTACTTTTGTCAATTCTGTTTTGTTTCTATTCGCTCAAATATCGTCAATATTGTTATTAGCGTTATAACGTTCTGCTCTTTTTCTTTGACTATTTAATTATATCTTATGTATATTTCACATTTATCAGATCTATTTCTGTTAAATTTTTAATAAATATCTTAAATGTCAGTAGCAGAGTAAATGAATTCCAGCTGTAATTTTCTTCTTTGATTGTACCATCTCTTCATCATTTGTAATTTTTAGAAAAGATCTAGCTTTGAGAAAACTCTTGTTTATATCCAGTGTACACTTCTGAGAAACACATTTTATTAGTGAGGATCCATATTTCCTTACAATAGCCTGGTATTCGTTTGTCTCTTAAACCTGCTATGCGTCATATTAAAGATTTCTGCTAGAAACTGATATGGATGACTCATTATGAGACTATTCGTATTTATAATACGATGAAGATATTCTCAGGAGAATGGATTTTTTTATTCACCAAATTATGATCAGCATCCATAAGATGATTATTTTCTCAGCCACATACAATAGACAAAAATATGTACAATATGAAGAAAAATAACATATTTATAAGTAGAAAGTTGTGCTACCCTTCGTTGGATGTCATTTACCTTTCGTTTCCTAAATGGTTGTTCAGGTGTTATATCACTAACTTGATATAAGTTTAATAAAATAGCTAAGCCATTTGTTGACTTAGTTAGATATTTGTGGTTCTTATCAGTGACTTAAGGGTACCCCACCCCACTTTTTTAAAAAAATTTTGGATTTTGAGCTAGCGGAGCATAGCCTAATGTAGTGGAAAGCGTGGGCTACAAAATGCGACCACTCCCAGCATTCCACAGCCTTTCTTCAAAAAGTTCTGCATTTCTAAAGTTTTTCTTTCAAAGCGTAAAAAAAACTCAATTTTTTAGTTTCATAAACTTTCCCCTGCATTTCTGTACATTCAAAAGTTTCTTCACACATAGTCTGGTAGAAGAAAGTGTTTTATTCACAATGAGACGTTTTTCAGAAATTTTCGATGAGTTTTCGTGGAGATGGCGGCAAATGCCTTGAAAAAAGCGTCCTGTGTACAAAATGCAGTTTTTCTCGAAAACTATTTTTTTTCTACTGGGCTTCATTGTGTCCCATCACGATCTCCATTAAATTTTTCAGTATTTTTTCTATAACTTGACAAGGAAAGGTCTTGAAAAAACTATAAAAAATACCTGTGCGATATTACCTTGAATACCTCCGGTAAAATTTTTAACTCAGTCGGATGAAATTTAAAGAGGGTCGTAATGTGATATAATGAAAAACCGAGTTTTCTAAAAAACTCGTGAACGGTAACAGTTAAAATCTTGAGACAACAACAAAAAATGCTTCATTGAGTTTCCAATCAGTTCTGAAAATATGAAGCCTTAGTGACTTTTAGTTTTTATTTCACAGCATTTCTACCGAAAGCCCAAAAAGAGAGAAGGGGTATCCCTACGTCCAGTGGCTTTCTGATATGGCAACAATCCTATAGCTAATAGTACCATTACATTCATGTACATGTCTGGTGGTATGAAACAATATTTGTGTAAACATTTTTTTGTTGGATTAGATTTTATTTAACTTGTATCATGTAAATATGTTGTTTTCCTTCACATCCTACATATTTTTGTCTTGTCGGTTGAGAAACGTATAATCTTACGAGCGCTGATCACAGTTTGGTGATTATTTATATCTAAAACTATTTGGAGATCAAAAAGTACATTCTTCTTATTGTGGAGAAGAGAGATCAGATGCCTAAAAATAGGAACTCGTATGCTTTTTGATGATTTTTCCAGAAAAGTAGTTTTGAAAGGTTTCCCATTTTTTTCAAAAACCATCAAAAACGTGCTATAAAATGAGCATGGAGTCTGAGTACACGTTTAAATGAATGCTGAAACAATTCAAAAATTACTTTTGATTTGTTTTACTTTACTTAAACACTCGATACTGCTTTTCACTTTGAAAATATTCTGAAATCTTCATGAACGTTAAAAGGTTTTTATAAGAAATTTTCAATTGATAAAATGTTTTTGCTCTACTTCATTTATTCTAACAAAAAGTATAATTCTTTCTAAACTTAAAAACATTATTTTATACGAAAAGTTTTGAAAACTTTTTCACTAGTGGCGCCTACGCGTTTCATTTACTTCCTGATTCATTATAAAACAATTAAAATAAAAGTAAACTCATTTTATTTACTTCCAATTTTTATTAATTCAAAAGTATATAATAACAAATAATTGAACAGGAAAACCTTGTTTAAGGTAAGCTATATTTGTTAACATCATATTGCTCATTATTCTCTAGACCATATTGTTGACTTTTTAACTTAAAATAAATCATTCAAATTTGTTACCCCATAAAATCTCAATATAATCGATATTTAAGATGAAATTATATCACGATTAGTCTCCATAAGAGATGATATTACAATAATCTACTGTTTATCACGATAAATCCTGTTAAGGTTTGTGGTCGTCAGGATAGAAGCAATCTTAGCGTTTATATGTATCAATAAATATACTCGGTCAAGAAATACTTTTCTTCGTGTTTCTTATATATCGACATGCTAACTTTTGTCCAAAATTTAGTTTTCTATCTCTAAGGAAAATACATGAAAGCATATATTAACTATATTGATTGAATCTCGTGATAATTACTTTTCGAAATAAAATTCAGAACCTACTGAAAAACTATAGCCTATTAAATGGAATAGTCCACTCTTCTATTTTCATCAAAAACATTCCTAACTCAGTCAAAAGCTTCTATTTCATCTATACTGTATCATGAAGTTTCGTAAACATAGAAATCTACAAGAAATAACGAGTGACGCATAAAGAATAACCCTCTCAGTATTTATGCCATACCTCTTTCAATTCTCGTCGCTCAGGACGGAATTTTTTTTAAAAGATTCCTCTTTTAATTCACTACAAAACCATAGTCAAATATGTGTTATGGGATCAAAAATAAAAAAGTTATTATAGAAATATTGAAAACCTAAAGCACCATCGGGTTTTAAGCACAAAAATCAGTTTTTTGTATTTATAAGTTCCCATGCTGAACTATAATAAGCCGTATAATAAAAAAATATCGTATAATAAAGAGCCTAAGTAAGCTATTTTGTAGAGCTTGAAAAACTCTATGGTTCTAGTGTATTCAAAAATTTTCACAACAAAGGCCCGGTGCACAAACATTTTGGGATTTTTTTTCAGATCTTTGAAAAAACCAAGTTTTCGTTCTATCGTAGCTCTTGTTAAAAAGTTCATGTAACTCAGTCAAAAATTATTTATTTTCAAGAAATTTTTTTTTGTTTGAAAGCTGGTGAGCCATACTATGAAAGTCTAACTTGATTTTGAATATATGTCTCTCCGAAGAGGTTGAGGCACGAAGGCCAAATAAGTAAAATATGGACCTTTTGGCCCAAAACTTCATTTCCTGCTGATATTTTTAAATCGGAAATACTCTCTTGCACTCTATTAGAAAGAGCATACTTGATTCTATAAGAAATGATACTTTGAAGTTTTTAAACAAGTGTTTTACCATTAGTAATAAATCAAAAATAAATTTGGAAGCTGTGCCTGAAAGTCCTATAATCCTACAAGATGAGTATATTTTTTTAGAAAATTCTATTGTTTTTCCTATGAGATAATTAATCGTTACGTGATGTCGTTCATAGTGAATATATACTACAGCGCTTGATATAATGGAAGCTATAGCAGAATGTACGATAAGATAATGAATCAGCTGGTATGTTAGCTGAATCAGCTATATCAAATGATTCATTATCACATCATACATTCTGCTATAGTTTTCATCATATCAAGCACGATATAAGTGTCCTCTTCCTGTTGAACATTATCTTTCTAAAAAAACTCAAATTATAATAACTTTTTAGATCTTCTAATTTTGTTTTTTTACTTTTCTTTCACTCAGTCGACTTTCCAATCTTCCCGAAGAGTAGTTGGCATCCAGCTGATAATTCCATTAGTTTTTGGAAAGAGTTGCTAGAGAACTTTTGAACCGTGATTGAAATCGTGTATTTCAATGTTTTGATCGTATAATCAGAGTTAACGAACAATTTCAACTATATCCTGAAGTTTTCAACTGCTTCTGATATATTTAGAATGATTCATAAATCTTTTAATCTTAAATGAAAACAGCCGTCAAACTCTATTTTTCGTAAAACTTGATTTTCATCTAGTTTTCAAATACTTTTCAAAAACAAACATTACTATCAGATTGAAAACAGCGATAGATAGCCTTATCGCCATAGATTCTTTAGTGTACTGTATTAATCTAACAAAAATGTCCTCATAGAACAGATGCGGGTAATTAAGCATTACTATCCCTAAGCATTTGTGCTTTACGCAAAACTTTTTGCATTAAAGTTCCTCTCATCGTTTTTCCAAGTTTGATTCTATGTATAGAACAAATCTAGTATTTTTCGTTATTTATTTGATATGTTGGACACAAAAAGGATAAACAACATGAAGTGCAAATTATAAGTAAATTAAACAAAAAAAAAAAAACACGAATATAAACATGTTTTCCTCTATGTCTATAAAATAATATGTAGGATGATGCACTTGGTTTTTGTTTGATTTGTTGATAGTGAATACTAAAATCTATAAGGACATAAGTGAGTTCTATATCGCTAAGTTAACAAACCATAGAATGTTTACATGCAATTTCTCGTTTTTTTTGTTTTCCAAAAAAACAAAACAAAAAAGACTATAAGATAATTCTTATTTAATGCTATTTTATGTCACATAGGCACGTAGTGAAGAGGAAATGAATGAGACTTCAGTTCTGATTTCTTTTTTATGTCAGAGTCGAACTTCTTTTAACACATTCTTCAAAGTGTATATGCGAAGATCCCTAGTGGTCTTTCTTTCCATCAACTAAGAAACATTTTCCATAAAATTATTTTTTTCGCATCTTTAAATTGCGTTATCCTTAACAT